TTTTATGATTATATAAATTTCACTTAATTTTAATTCAGATGTATGTCACGTTTTACGGCATTGATGGTGTTAAGTATTGTAAGTTAAAGGTCGGGAGATGCTGAAATACAGAAATAACTTGTCATATCTTCAGTGGGGAGATGAAAATTATTCTGTATTCTGTATAAAAATTCTTTCACAATTTGCTTTGAAACCCTTCTGCGCCGAACATTATCATTTTCGCCTTTTTTATACTGAGTATATAGAAACTATTTTTAATGTAATTTCCTATTTGGCGCTACACGCAACTTTGTAATTATCAATGCTGGACTGAATACAGTATTGCAGAATTGTTACTAAAGTCTGGTTATTTTGCAATTCTGAATTCATTTTATATATTCTTTTCCTTCTCCGCTAATAGCATTTTAACTGCTCCAGTCAGCTTGTTTTGTCTATGCTAACTTTTACTAGTAAAATCGTTGTTTTTAACTGATCGTTCCATAATAGACCAATGTATATGTTTCTCATATTGGTCATAAAATTATTGAGAAATTAAAAAGAATTTTGTGTTTTAAATGTGCTTTTAACCGTTCTGTATAAAAACAATATCAGTATTCTGTAATTTTTAAAAATCTGAAAGTGGCCTGTAGTAGTACGTATTAAAAACGTTCCTAACAGTTAACAAATATTTCCGAGTGAAATTGAAATGTCCTTGCGTAGGTTAAGAAGAGTGTTGCTGGTTAATAATTAATTATTTTATGTTATAATAAAGTGTTGAGATTTTTGCAACAGATTATATAAATTATGTAAGAAGTATGTTCTTGTAAATGTTGCATTTATATACAAATTATTGAGTGCACATAGGTTATCCTGACGAAAGATTAACGATTCTACCCTGAAAGTCGATTTATCAACATCCTTCTTCTTTGTATGCCATATCAGATTTTTACGTTGTCGACAACTGGCGTAGGTTAGCAAATAGTTAGTAATTCGTTGAGGTGTATCGCGTTGCTTTCTCTGGGGCGCGATATTACGCGAATGGAAATGCCTTCCAGGAGGTCTTTTAATGGAAACTGGCCCCTATTCATGTGATACAAACGTGGAGAAAACACAGAAAACTTCATGTGGCTAGCTCATCCAAGCGCGGCACAAACCCGCGACAAAACTTCCAGTGTTTAGCGACAGAACCGCTCGGCCACATAATGTAAAGTCGATAAGCCTGCCACGGCTTATCCACTTTACATTATGTTAACATTTTTAAAACATAAAACTTTAGTTTAATTTTTTTAAGTTCGAAATTCTTTTTCGGCGTACACGAAATATCATGATTTTTCTTGGCAAGCATTATGAAGCATTAATTCTCAAATTTAATATTGCTCGATACTCCATTTTGGAAACGAAAGCAAAGCGACGATANGAGAAATTAAAAAGAATTTTGTGTTTTAAATGTGCTTTTATCCGTTCTGTATAAAAACAATATCAGTATTCTGTAATTTTTAAAAATCTGAAAGTGGCCTGTAGTAGTACGTATTAAAAACGTTCCTAACAGTTAACAAATATTTCCGAGTGAAATGAAATGTTTTTGCATAGCTTAAGAAGCGTGTTGCTGGGTATTAATTAATTATTTTATGTTATAATAAAGTGTTGAGATTTTTGCAACAGATTATATAAATTATGTAAGAAGTATATTCTTCTAAATGTTGCATTTATATACAAATTATTGAGTGCACATAGGTTATCCTGACGAAAGATTAACGATTCTACCCTGAAATTCGATTTATCAACATCCTTCTTCTTTGTATGCCATATCAGATTTTTACGTTGTCGAGCAACTGGCGTAGGTTAGCAAATAGTTAGTAATTCGTTGAGGTGTATCTCGTTGCTTTCTCTGGGGCGCGATATTACGCGAATGGAAATGCCTTCCGGGAGGTCTTTTAATGGAAACTGGTTCCTATTCAGGTGATACAAACGTGGAGAAAACGCAGAAAACTTCATGTGGCTAGCTCATCCAAGCGCGGCACAAACCCGCGACAAAACTTCCAGTGTTTAGCGACAGAACCGCTCGGCCACATAATGTAAAGTCGATAAGCCTGCCAGGGCTTATCCACTTTACATTATGTTAACATTTTTAGAACATAAAACTTTAGTTTAATTTTTTTAAGTTCGAAATTCTTTTTCGGCGTATACGAAATACCATGATTTTTCTTGGCAAGCATTATGAAGCATTAATTCTCAAATTTAATATTGCTCGATACTCCATTTTGGAAACGAAAGCAAAGCGACCATACTTCTATAAGTTATAGAATAAAAACAGCTATCAGAAGTAAGATTTTAACTACTAAATTTTTCGAACTGTGCGCTGTGTTAGCAGGCAGACTGATTTTGTAGAAAAGTAGTAAATGACGTCTCCATCATAATTTTTCTATAATGTTACGATCATGTTCAAAAATGTATTTAGTCCAGAACAAGCAGCCATCTTGTGAATCGTACGAGAGACAAACACAATTACGTCTCTAGTATATATTAGCATAGATTTAAAAGAATGGCTGTAGTAGTTAGAATTCTAGCAAAAGACAGTAAACAAATAGATAAGTGTTCAAAATTGCTGAATAATTAGACTTGGTAAGAATTCTGAGATAATTAACACGGCCTGCCATTGAAACTTACAAAGTTGTGTGTAACGCTACCTGTTATAAAATTTTATTTGAAAATAATATATTTATTATTATTATTATTACTAAAAGGAAAAAGTTCTTATTATTCATTGTACCAGCGTGTTTCTTTGTAAATTTCAAACAGCTAAAAGCGTATAAAATTTTCTTTTCCTTACTAAATGAATGACATAATCCCTTCTATCTTTCTCTTTTCACCTTGAACATGCAAAATTTAACAGTAAGGGAAGGTGGGACAAGATGAAAATATTAAGATTTGAAAAGTCATAAGATGGCATCCACTTTGACGAATACGATAATTTTTTTTTATTTTCAGAAACTACAAAATGTGGTAATTTATAATGCAAAATTTAGTATTTGAAAAACATCTTTAAAAACAAGGAAATTTAATATATTAAAATTTTGTGTAAATGCACCATCTTCCTCCATCCATGGTGTAAGATGGGGATATTATTTTTATATACAAGAAGGTTAAAGAGTCGTTTTCTTTAATATTGGCACAACAACAGTGTGCTTATTTATCACAACGGCTACATTTAGTCTAACTCTCTGTACATATAGAGTATAACCCTCCACAATAGAGGCATTCTATGTGATTTGTCTCTAGTTTCTTTTAGGCCTACCCTTGCTGAAGGGTCCAGTTTGTCGTCTCTGCTGCAATAAAGTCTGCTTCCAAAAGTACTTCTGAGTTCATAAGCAATATTCACGGTCAACCTGGGGCTAGACGGGTACGCCATGTTGCCCCTAATGTACCCTTTTCATACTGACTGCAAACACAGGTAAATTTCATTTCAAAACTAAACAGTTACAGTCTTAAAGGTTACTTCGAATACCATAATAACTTCATGTAAAAGGTAATGTAAAAGTTCACAATGATACTAACTTTGTAGAAACTTTGTAGCAGGCGTAAAATTAGATGAAGTATTGCTGAAATAGGGAAAACGTCTTGCTTCTAAACGAAGAAAAAGATTTGGGCGTTTTCTTGTATTATGATCCCTTTTGAAGTTTTCATTTAGTTATCCAAATGGCAACTAGATGAAAGCGCGTTAACCACGAATAAACAGACGTCCCACTCTTACCCCATGACCCCATCTTGCATCACATTTCTCTATTAATACCAAAATATATGATATATATTTGACTTAAAAATCTGTCATATATAAATTGCATTACAATATTTTAGAAATTACAATATGAAATTATAAAGTTCGTGAGTTCAGGCAATGGCCTTCAATACAGAATATGTTATTATATTAATAAATTTTGCTAATAGACAGATTTTAAAATGCTTTATTATATATTGTTATCTTAAAATAAAACATTTCCTTTCAACCAAAACATTAGTTTCATTGACTAAGCTTTTAACGTATTTCATAAGAATGATTCTAATTCCAATACAAACTAGGATCTTATTTAACGATATTAACGTAATGTGTCAACACAAACTAATTAAGAATGGTATTCACTTGCTTGTATTATAGATGAGAATGAGACTTGCTCTTACTTTTCACATAAATTTATAGAATAGTGCTTTTAAGATTAGAAATTTCTGTCATTAAATTTTCATTATTCGTTAAAGCAAAAACAATTAAAATAACGTTTCATCAACTACTGTTATGAGCAATCAACGTTTCAGTCGTTTTATGATAAAAACGGTAAAAATTTTAGGATTTTAGTTTAATAGTATGGTTTTCAGTGTAAAATTTTGGCATCTGTCATCCGTTACATTCCTTAATTTTAAGAGTTTGGAAAACACAGAATGCAATGTACTTGCCATCTGAAATACAAAAAAATAAATGTAACTATTCAAATTTAAGGCAATATTTAAAGAGTTGTTGAAGTAAACCTACCTTCAGAGGAATTTTCTTGTCGACGCAAAAGGTACCTCCTATCGTCAGACACAAGGACACTTTTCCAAATCGTTTCATAAAATTTAAAATCTATAAAATAAATTATTTTTGACATTGAATTTAATTTATAAAACTTAACTTATAATACGATAAAAATCACGAAAATCTTTACCTTTAAATTATCTGAGAGTTTCAAATTGCAAACTGCAAATTGCCGAATGTCTTGAAATCCATTCTCCATCTAAGAAAACAGATATAAATGAACAATACAATTAATAATTAAAAAGTTTTTAAGTTTAGTGAATAAATACCGTAAATGCGATGCAGCACAGGTAACAGGCAAATATAATACTGCTAAATGAAAATGAATCATCAAAGCCAAATTCCACAATCTAAATAACACGTGCATGTTCAGATACAAAACGTCGTAATACAAAAAACACGTTCCCCAAATCATTCCGAAATAAAACACTAATGAAATGAATTTGAATTTTGTGTTTCACTGATCCACAATAACCCACAGTTCTTGGTAATGGAACATCAATTTCTGTAATTTCATTTTCACATTTCTGTCGCTTCTTCTTATTTCGCATAATTCACTCAAAAGTTCTTCAAACTCTTTATGAAGAACAAATGTAATAAGAGCTACTAACAGCAAAACATATGCTATTCCTCCTGATATTAAAGTCGTCGAAAATCCAATATTAACAGCACAAAAAAGTGCCTCTAGTCGAAACTTTTTTTCTCTTTTCCAACGCAGGATAGTAAACAGCCAGAATAATAACTTCGTAAGAGGTAATTATTAATATAACAATAAGAGAAACGAGAAATTACACCATTCTCAGCATACTTTTACTTTCGGTAACAATTTTTCGATATCTGTTTCGAAGAATCTTAATCGGATGAAATTTTGTTTTATTGGCAGATGTCACAGAGATTGAGTAAATCATGAATATGATTAACGTTGCAATCTTCATGATTTCAGCGTCAGTCCCCGTATACTTCAAAGAACCCGTAACACAATACATATTCTTTTACACCAGGTAAAGTTTTCCATAACAAAATTATAGTATATTGCCATAATATAATCTGAACAAACCTAATGTAGATTTTTCTTATTATTTCAGTTCTAAGTAGATAAGATGGTTATTTGCAGGAACACATCTGCAAAAAGTCTACTTCGTAAATAAGAGCCATTACCCAACAGGGCCTCATGAAACAATTCATGCAGTTTTCTCTTCCATTATCGAATTCGTTATGCTGAAATGGTGAAGAATATTGTAATGTTCACACAAATTTTCTATTAACTTATCTGCGAGGTAACTGCACTAAGATATTACGGATGTTTATTATTCTATTTCCGAACGTGTAAGCTTTGACGAATCCCGTTAATATCGTAAAATACTTTCTTGTTTGTGTTTGAAATAGAATCACTCTTAAGAAATATATTAAAAAGTTAATCAATAAAACTGAATTGCTGGGTAATAGAAAACGGTTTATCATAAATTCGCCGTATGTCGTTAAACCTGAGTAGGTAAACAATTATCATAGCAAAAATTTTTAACCATTTTCGTAGCATATAGATTTTCATGTTTAAGTCGTTGGTTGTATTTGATATAGAATTACTCTGAATAAATACGTATGTTATATGGTTAGTCAATAGAACTGAATTTCTGGGAGTAGTAGTGGTTTAAGCCATACTGATCACAGAATTAATTTCAGATGTCGATTAAGTTAAATTATAATTACAAAGAATTTTTTAAAATTGCAAATAAAAATTTGTTGAATAGAATTATTTCAGATCACAAAATTAATTTTTCAATCACAAATCTTAATTTTATTTTAACAATAAGTCAAACTTTCTGTATTAATTATTAAATGTTTTAATATCGAATAAAATTAAAACACAATAATTGTATGAAATAATATAACTCCAAAACAAAATTATTTTTGAATTTTTTTTATTTTTACTTTAATAGATTAAATTAGTTTATTTTATTTAATCTTTTCCAGTTTACTCATTTACTTTATCTAAAACATGGCACATTTCTGCTAGTAAGTGGAGTAATAAGTTCTGGTGATTGTTTACAATATATTCCCGGTCTATTTTCTGATATTTTAAAATGTAACACCATGAAAGTTTATTTTGGAAGTTATCAATAAATTGCTGGTCAAGTATTTGGTAACGAGAAACATAATTCCAGTTTAGATAATNAGTATTTGTCTGATTAATAAAGCAAATGAAAAACAATCGAAGAATCCTTTAGAAGTTGCAGAAGTCGTATATGAATTGATGTGTACGTGCACAGAACGGAAAAGCTACGTTGGAGAAACAGGAAGAAAACTGGAAGTGAGGCTAAAGGAGCATGAGGCGGCAATTCGATTGAACAGAACTGAATCCCCGTGGCAACAACACTGCAGTATTAAAAATTGTCTTATTGATCGTAGTAATATTAAAATTTTGTATAAAGAAAAAAATTTTGTAAAAAGACGCATCATAGAACATTACTGTATTAAAGAACATGCAAATTGTATAAATTTAAATACCGGAGCATATGTCGATGCATGCTGGGATAGCTTGATGAACTATAATAGTACTGGCAACTTAACAGTGTAATATCCACTGAAGAGGCTGAAATAGCGAAATACATATGGATAACATAATAAAGTAAGAAATAGTGAAAATAATTCTCTAGTTTTCTCTGTTTTTTAAACTCTATCGAAGTCGGAATTAAAGAGTGAACGTCACTTGTGGTTCTTAGAAATTTTTTTAAACGAAAAAATTTTTAGAATTTATTAATTTTAATACTTAACTTATAATACGATAAAAATCACGAAAATCTTTACCTTTAAATTATCTGAGAGTTTCAAATTGCAAACTGCAAATTGCCGAATGTCCTGAAATCCATTCTGCATCTAAAAAACAGATACAAATGAACAATACAATTAATAATTAAAAAGTTTTTTAATTTTAGTGAATAAATACCGTAAATGCGATGCAGCAGAGGTAACAGGCAGATATAATACAGATAAATGAAAAAAGAATCATCAAAGCCAAAATCCACAATCTAAGCAACTCGTGCATGTTCAGAAACAAAAATCCGTAATACAAAAAACTTGTTCCCCAAATTATTCCAAAATAAACAACAGAAAAAATTAATTTGAATTTTGTGTTCCACTGATTCACAATAACCCACAATACTTGGTGATGCGTCATAGATTTCTGTAATTTCGTGCTCAGATTTCTGTCGCTTCTTCTTATTTCGCATAATTCACTCAAAAGTTCTTCAAACTCTTCATGAACAACCAATGTAATAAGAGCTACTAACAGCAAAACATATGCTATTCCTCCTGTTATTAAAGTCGTCAAAATCCAATATTAACAGCACAAAAAAGTGCCTCTAGTCGAAACATTTGTCTCTTTTTCAACGCAGGATAGTAAACAGCCAGAATAATAACTTCGTAACAGGTAATTATTAATATAACAATAAGAGAAACGAAAAAGGACAACATTCTCAGCATACCATTACTTTCGGTAACAATTTTTCGATAAAAATATCTGTTTCGAAGAATCTTAATCAGATGAAATTTTGTTTTATTAACAGTTGTCAGAAAGATTGAGTAAATCATGAATATGATTAACGTTGCAATCTTCATGATTTCAGCCTCAGTCCCAGTATAGTTCAAAGAACCCGTAACACAATGCATATTCTTTTACATCAGGTAAAGTTTTCCATAACAAAATTATAGTATATTGCCATAATATAACGTGAACAAACCGAATGTAGATTTTTCTTATCATTTCAGTTCTAAGTAGATATGATGGTTGTTTGCAGGAACACATCTGCAAAAAGTCTACTTCGTAAATATGAGCCATTACCCAACAGGGCCTCATGAAACAATTCATGCAGTTTTCTTCTTCCATGATCGAATTCGTTACGCGGAAATGGTGAAGAATATTGTAATGTTCACACAGATTTTCCATTAACTTATCTGCGAGGTAACTGCACTAAGATATTACGGATGTTTATTATTCTATTTCCGAACGTGTAAGCTTTGACGAATCCCGTTAATATCGTAAAATACTTTCTTGTTTGTGTTTGAAATAGAATCACTCTTAAGAAATATATTAAAAAGTTAATCAATAAAACTGAATTGCTGGGTAATAGAAAACGGTTTATCATAAATTCGCCGTATGTCGTTAAACCTGAGTAGGTAAACAATTATCATAGCAAAAATTTTTAACCATTTTCGTAGCATATAGATTTTCATGTTTAAGTCGTTGGTTGTATTTGATATAGAATTACTCTGAATAAATACGTATGTTATATGGTTAGTCAATAGAACTGAATTTCTGGGAGTAGTAGTGGTTTAAGCCATACTGATCACAGAATTAATTTCAGATGTCGATTAAGTTAAATTATAATTACAAAGAATTTTTTAAAATTGCAAATAAAAATTTGTTGAATAGAATTATTTCAGATCACAAAATTAATTTTTCAATCACAAATCTTAATTTTATTTTAACAATAAGTCAAACTTTCTGTATTAATTATTAAATGTTTTAATATCGAATAAAATTAAAACACAATAATTGTATGAAATAATATAACTCCAAAACAAAATTATTTTTGAATTTTTTTTATTTTTACTTTAATAGATTAAATTAGTTTATTTTATTTAATCTTTTCCAGTTTACTCATTTACTTTATCTAAAACATGGCACATTTCTGCTAGTAAGTGGAGTAATAAGTTCTGGTGATTGTTTACAATATATTCCCGGTCTATTTTCTGATATTTTAAAATGTAACACCATGAAAGTTTATTTTGGAAGTTATCAATAAATTGCTGGTCAAGTATTTGGTAACGAGAAACATAATTCCAGTTTAGATAATCTTTTAATACACGTAAAGTCATAGTTTTTAATCGTTGGTATTTTAAAATTTTTTTAATATCAAACTTATGTATGTATCGCCTAATAAAATTATCTGAAAGAATTTGAAATTCTGCGACTTTATTCCAATCAAGATATTGTGAAAAGTTGGTTAAGAATGATTCGTCTAACACCTGATACTCGCAAATTAAATCCCATTTTGCATATTTAATATGTTTTTCAATAAATGAAGTAGCGAATATATAGTTTTTCCATAGGATTTCCCAATTTAACTTATCAGCAAATTCGGAAATGAATGTGAGAGATAAATCGTTTCGTCGACTGATGATATCCCAGTCAATATAATTTCTTAAATGACGAATATTATTCTCTTCTAATGATGAAAATGAAAAATTCCCCCAATCAATTAGCAGTTGAGTATTGTCTATAAAGAAACAAAATTGTTGTTTTTGTTAGGATACATTATTCATATTAATA